AAGAGAATAGAATCATTTCTTATGAGGTCTTGCCTTTTAACCCTCAAGTGCTTCAAAACCAACGACCGTTGCTGTTAACGGTTTAACCGTCATTCCTTTGTTTTACGACTTGTTTCCCAGCTGTACAGTAACATTCATTTGACGGTCGCAAGATGCAGGCGTATATTCATGAGCTGGAGTAATTCCTTTCTCAACCTTAATAGTGGTTAGGTTTTCAAAGGCACTCGAGGTTAGAACGATCCCCCTATTTAACTCCGGTTCGATGGTGTTGTCGCTGGAATAAGCGAAGCCCAGATGCTGAAATTAGTCAGCTCCCTAGAGTAGGGCTTCATTTTTTTGTTCAACTTGTAGATCTACTGTGCCGGATGAATTTCTTGTAATTTTGGCTTCATGGCATTAAAGAAGAGATCGCCTTTCGCATCTTGCAGAAACCATCAAGTGATTGAGCCCGTTTCCAGTACTATTCACCACGACAATACCGTACGCGTACTCCAGGTCAGCAGTATGTCTGGTCGGATATTTGGAATTGCGCCTTCTTCTGGAGTGAGACCTTCGTCATTGCCGGCGTCAGTACTTTTGGAGGAGGAGGATGAGAACAATGTTGAATGGCAAATGCGAAAGCACATCATCTTCGCGAATCTCACGGCTAATAGAGAACCATCCAACTGGCTATCCTTCAGCTTTGACAGTAGACATGATTAATGCATACATCTCTTCAAAAATGGAAAATAAACTTACTGCATGTTGGCACTTAGGATTTTCCGCATCGTCGAATGATTTAGTGAGTCAGTTGCAGTCTTCAATTCGAGGAAAGTTGCAAACGAGGGCAGCTTGAATCGTCGGCATTGCTCTGTGACCCTACGTAGAATGAAAATTGAGTCGGGCCAGAAGTATCTCATCCGAAATCCTGTTTCATTTGAATGAGGTCTCGAATCAGCTGCTTACCTCAGCCTTTCCACGATGACACATTGTGATACAGCGAAGCACACGAACGAAAACATGGTCGTATAAGGGGTATTTGTCGTTGTTGTTCAGCACATTTCTTGGCATAGGCGACAATGACATTCTCACC